TGCATACAGTTTCCCAGTACGAGGTGGGGAGTAGAGGCATTAGGAGCTTAAGGAAGCTGTCCACACTCTATCAGTAGTCATGGATACATGCTAGTGTTTGTTTAGCTCTCTCTGCTATTAGGTCCAGGATCCCAAACCCAGGAAAAGTGCCATTCACAAGAGGGGTAGGCATGGGCGGGGTGCAGGAGTCTTCCCAAACCTGTTAACATGATTAAGATAATCCCTCACAGATATTCTCAGAAGCCCTTCTCGCAGGTGATCCTGGATTGTATTGACAGTTTAAATCTAACTATCAGACAAAAATCATAGACACAATGGTCAGGGTCAAGTTAGTAGAAAAGATAGGGTGATTAAATATTTTTTGTGGACTGTCATGCCTCTGCATTACATGGGCATCATTAATTGTAATTGTAATGACTGACAGGAGACCCTCAACAAGTCCAGGATTGTGGGCTGATATTTCCTCATTAAAGGAGGCAGAAGGAAGGGTCATTACATGCTTGAGAGTCCAGCCACTTGCTCCCTCCTGCATACCCACCCATCTTCCCTAGCTGTATACTGTCTTCAGGAGTGTGTGAGTACATAGGAGATAAAATATTGACCAAAGGAGAGACTCCATGTGTGCATCTATGGAGGTAGTCACTCATGCTAGATAGGGTTTTTTTTTAAAAGTTATCATTGATGTAGCTATTTGGGAGGGTCTTGTCTCTTTGTTTGATTACTTGTCTTCTTGTTTCATCACTTGTCTCCTTGCTTGATCAAATACCTCACAGAAGAAACTGATGGGAAAAGGGGTTATTTTGGCTTACGGTTTGAGAGTGTAGTCCACAATGTCATGAAACTTGTGGCAGCAGGAACTTGAGGCAGCTGACCACACTGCATCCATAATGAGGAAGCAAAGAGGGATAAATGCTGGTACCCAACTCACTTTGCTCAGTTCCAGGCCCAGTCCTCTCCCACTGTAAAGGTGAGTCTTCAAAACCCAATTACATAATTGCTCATGGGTATGCCTCGAGAGGTTTATCCTAAAGGTGATTCAGTCAAGTTTATAATCCCAAACATAAACACACACACAAATTCTCTCTCTCTCTCTCTCTCTCTCTCTCTCTCTCTCTCTCTCTCTCTCTCTCTCTCTCTCTCTCTCTCTCTCTCTCTCTCTCTCTCTCTCTCTCTCTCTCTCCCCTTTCCACTCCTTCCCTCCCTCCTCTAACTAATCCCTCATATATGCTCCTGTTGCAAAATGGTTGGACACTGTGAAGATGTGTCTTTGTCAAGGCGCCTTCTGACCTTCTGATAGGTTTAGTAAAAAGCTTAATAACTAGGCAGGAAAAAGCAGGCAGGACTTCCTGGGGAGAGAGAGGAATGTTGGGAAGAATAATGAGACCTGACAAGAGAAGCCAGTGAGATGTGGAAATGTGGACATACGGAATGAAGGAGAGATAAAAAAGCACACGGCAGAATGTAAATTAATAGAAACAGATTAATTTAAGTTATAAGAGCTAGTGGGACAGGCATTAACTAAAGGCTACGCTTTCATAATTAATAACAAGTCTCCCTGTTATTTGGGGGCTGGTGGTCCTGATGAGAAAGTAAAACTAAATGCTCCTATGAGTAAGCACAACAAATCTATTGGTTGGTAAAGCGAGATCTGGGTGTGACTGGTACTTGGTGTTTTGTTGGTGCCCAGTCTGGAGTGAGCAGATGTTCTTTCCCATCTCCTGAGGAAAAGTTAATGCCATAGCCCTCATCTCTATGGCTGCCTCTCCACCATTCACCCCATCTGGGTTACTGGCAACCGCATGACTCCGTATTGCTTTCCCCAACGCTCTGTACCTCTTCCCCATTTGCAACTGCTACTGACTGGGAAACCATGTGTGTCATGACATGCCCACTCTGTCCTTCTGTCAGCTCTGGTCATTCCTTAGTAACCAAGGGTGTTGGCTCCTGATGTACAGCTCATCTCTAACATGGGTCCACTTCTGGCTTCATAACCTACTTGGCAGCTCACCCAACTCTCTTAGTATCCATCCCTGGGCTTCATTCCTTAACAACTTGTCTCCCACTTCTGACCAGTCATCCCTTCTTCTCACCTGGTCCTTCACTGTCCCTGAGTTCACCTCAGCTCCCCAAGGACAAGTGCTTCTCCCTGCCTGAGGTCCACTTTCTAGTTCCTACCTCATTAAAGATGTCTTGATGATCACTCTCAAGGCAGCTGTCTCTTTGAGTCCATTTTACCCAGACCAGACCTTAAGCCTCACTGCCAATCACTGCAACCTCCCCTGTGACTGTCTGCTAGTCTCCCCCCCTACTCCTCCCTGAAATTAGCCCAGCTTTGGGGTGGGTGTCTCCATCTGAGTTTCTGAACACTGACTAGTTTGGTAGCCAGCCCCTTTGTCACCTTTTGGAAATTTTTATAAGGTGAAGGATTAATGTCAACCCATCTTTTCAAAGGCTTCAGTTCATGTCTGGACTCCTGCATTGACTTGTGGTCCATGGCAAGGCAGGAATGGTGTGGGAAAAGGGTATGGTAGTAACAGGATTGGGCCAGGACCAGGCTATATGCAGCTCCAATGACCAACTTCTTACAACTAAGCCACACCTCTCATGGTTCCACTATCTCCCAACAGTTTATTCCAATTTTGAATCCATCATAAGATTATACCATTGAGTATGTCAGGGCTGTCATGATCTTTCTGAAAATGATCTCACAGTCACACCCAGTATCCTTTACTAGTCTCACAGGCATCTCACAATCCAGTCAAGCTGGCAGTCAGAGAGACTCTTCATCAGAGTGCCTAACTTCTCACTCTAGCAACCTGCTATGGAAACAAACTCTGCATGCATGGTCTTTGGTTTCTCCTTTAGGTCGAACACCTCACAGCTCAACCCTGCTTTGTTGGTCTGTGGTCAACCTGTTTGTCCTCTGCCATTACATTCCGGACACTGCTCCCAACAAAGCCATCCAAAGCTGTGATGGTAAATCCAGTGGACTTCTCTGTCAGTCAACGGAACTCTCAGAAGCACCTGCAATTGCTCAGTTTGTGATCCTGCTTTCCCCTTGATCCTTGCACCTTTACCATGTCCCCTCAACCCTCAGGGCTTTGATCTGCCCACTTCTTTTCTCTATGGCTAATCTCAGAATAGTTTTCATGTCTTCTACTGGGTTAGCTCAGATTTATGTCCCCATGTCGTCCAACCTTGCCCCCTATGCACTGGGCTTTCTCTTCATCCATAACACAAACACCTTGTAGCTCAAATTTCAAAGTCACCCTTGAGTCCCTACCTTCTTCCAACAACCAGGCTCTGTCAGATAACGCCATGACCTCCTCTCCCATGTCATCTGTGTGCATCTTCACTAAGCAGCCCTGGTGCAGGTCACCATCCTCTCCCCTGGAAAACTACTGTGGCAGGTTTATCCGTGTCCTTCAGATTTCTGATCCATACCAGGAGTGACTTGCCTGAAACACACACTTGGCCATCCCCACGGCCTGTGTGACCTTGTGGCAAAAGCACTGCCACTTCTCAAGCACAGCCTCCCATTTCTTACTGATGTCTAGTTATACTGGCCTTATGCTGTTGTATACTAGGCTCTTATCAATGTTGGTGGCAGATTCGTTATCACTTCTCCCATTGTACCACCATCGGGAAAAGGACTCTAATCCCTAACCCTTGACTATAGTATTAAATGACTTGGTTGACTATCAGTCATCTTGCAGCATCTACCCTAGTCTCTCTTTGCTGGGCACCAAGTCATGGAGGAATCTCATCTAACTAGATCACCATGTTGATGAGGCAACATACAGGGGTTTTGGTCCCAGCTGAGCCTAGCCTTTGAACCATGTCTATTAATGTGTCAGATCTATGAATGAAGCTACTATAAATTCTCCTGACAGGCTCTATCTACCAGGTCAATACTATCTACACTTTTGGAAGAAGAAAGGAAGAGGAGGAGGAGGAGTGAGAGGAGGAGGAGTGAGAGGAGGAGGAGAAGGAGAAGGAGAAGGAGAAGGAGAAGGAGAAGAAGAAGAAGAAGAAGAAGAAGAAGAAGAAGAAGAAGAAGAAGAAGAAGAAGAAGAAGAAGAAGAAGAAGAAGAAGAAGAAGAAGACGTCAACGACAAGAAGCTCTCATGAATCATAGACTGGTCTGGAACTACATAGCCAAAGGACCTTGAATTTCTTATCCTCCTGCATCAGCACAAGGGTTCCAAGTGTTATTTATGCAACACCAGGGTGATGGGGAAGTCCTGTGTATATGTCAATAAAGCACTGTTGGCCAATAGGGAAGCAAGATAGGTGGGACTAGGAGTCCAGGAGGACTCTGGGTAGGAGAAACACAGAGAGTCATGATGCAGTCCACCAGAGAAGATGTCCAGAACTTTTCTCCAGTAAGAGAAATACTTAGATTAACAATTATGGTATAAATACTTAAGTCAGAGCTAGCCAGTAAGAAACAAGTAAGGCCATCAGCTTCATAATTAATACAGCGTCTTGTGTGTTATTTGGGGACTACAATGAGCTAGAGCCCAGGGGACTGGTGGGGAAAAACCAAAGCAGCTGGCAAGGAAAAGGCTTCTCTCTACACCAGGGTTTAGACTCAGGGTCTCATGAATACTAGGCAAAGCTATATGAGCTACATCCCCAGCTTCCACTGAAAATTTTTAAAGATCCACATCAGTTGTAAGAACAGTCTTGGAATAATTAAGGTACTTGACTATAAAATGCATCCCAAGATTGGGATTAAGCAGTACATTCTGGGGATGTTCTAACAAGATTCTTCTCACCTCAGGAACTTCACACATGCCTCTTAGACACTTCTTTATGCTTAAATGCTCTTTACCAGGGACATCCCAGACCAACCCAAGTCACAGAATGCCAATAGAACCATATCCATTCCTTCATTCATTCCCTTGTAAACATGTACACACACTGCACCACAAACAGTAGCCTAGCTTTCCTTGTAGGGCAGTCACCAAGAAACTAAGGTCTAGAAATCCCATACCTGTTTTTCCATTAGTATTTTATTGGGACACAATAACACAAACTATATATCATGCAGGTAAGTTTGACATGACAGTGTTAAAGGGTTCCTGAGCACCACATGGCTGACAAAAGCTCACAGTATTTACTAAATAGTGCTATTTATTTATGATGTGGTATGCCTACTCCTCACTTGGAAGTCTGGAGACAAAGGTAATGGGCTTTTACTTCTGTTACCATACTTGCCACTGAGAAGGTATTAACCCATATCTGTTGAAAGAACCGGAGAGCTTAGAGCCCCAGGTATCAGTCTGCCTTCCTGGATGTCTGAAAAACGGCAGGGCATTCTAGACAGAAACAAATGAAGCTCAGAGATGAACATGCTGGAAGAGAGGCATCAGGACCGAAGTCCCAGGTCTAGGTTCAGCCCAAGAAGCCCTTGACACATTCCAACCCTCAGCAGTTGGGGAAGAAAGGAGTGCGGGGCTAATTAGGGCCTTACCCAACTTTCTGCAACCCACAGCTTTGCTCAAGCCTCAGGTTACCCTGGGCCATTCTCAGGAAGAAACCCCCTCCTCTGTTTCCCTAACGAGAATTGTCTGGGCTGGACCCTGACCAACAGTCTTGAAGCAGATGGGAAAGAACCTCACCCCCATTTAGCAGGAAGGAGTGGGATGCGCCTGACGCCACATCAAGGTTAAACTGCCAGGCTGTGTGCGATCACAGACTGCATATATGCATACCAGGAGCTTCAGGCTATTGATCCACGTGTAAGGGAGTGCTCTGAGACACAACCACAGCCTTTATCCCCAATGCCATCACACCAGGTCCTCTATTGAAAACACAGTGCATATACATCTGTCTTTAATCTTCTATCAGTTATCACCTCTCAGTCCCCAAAGAGAAAACATTTGCCCATGCCTCCCATTATCCTTCCCTTATACCAAAGCCCTCATCTTGGGTTTCAGGGGTCCATGGTGGATTGACTCTACTTAGAAGCTGGGATCTTGAGGTTTGCAATAGTGCCAGGATCCAGAAGTTCCAAATCCAGAAGGGCATCGAGTAGCTGCTCCCGGGCAGCACCAATGAAGGAATTCTCCAGGAAGGTGGGCAAGCCTCCCACACCGTCACGCAGGATGTACAGAGGCACCCGCACCAGGCCCAGCACCTATGAAAAGCAGACAGGTGACATGTGGGACTTCAAGTATCTCAGCACATTACCTTACCTACCTTGGAACAGAGATCTCCAGAGTAGAGACCTAACCTAACAACCAGGCAAAACGGGGCCCAATAACCACACCTCAGGAAAGCTTACAAATGACCCCTGCTGGGTATCCAGCTCCATCCACGCTAATCCTTCTCCGCCTTTCCCTTCATCCTCATTGGCTACTGCCTCCAGGGGCAGGCAAGGCTGTAGCAGTATTTCCAATAACAGAATTTACACAATTGTATAGGTACCACTTCGGTGATCCAGGAAAACGCAAACAACCAAGTCTCCCTCTGACCTCCTCACCCAACCAGTGAATGATTCCGATAGAGCGTTCGGTCTACACACTGCCAAAGTGTGCACAGTAATCACTTTCAATATGTCCCTCACCCGCAGTTGGAGAGTCACCTCCACACACGCTTCCCTAGCACTGGAATAACTGTCACACTTTCTGCTTAAGGAAAATATGGGCCCAACGCTAAGGGTTTAAGAGTGTCATGAATATTAGCATAGGCAGCAGGAGAGAGCCTTGCAGGTGTGTTCTAAACATCTCTCTGCAAAAGCTACTAAAGGAAACCAAGTTGGTGGTGTTATCCAGCCTGGAAATGACCAAGATCACAACTAGTTCATGCCACTTGAAAGAGTGCAATGTCAAAATCTCTTCCACCCAGTGGCTTCCTTAGGTGAGACACATGGGAGAGGGCAGACAGGACAGGGGAGTGGGTCACAGGCTGGCCCCACCTCCAGCCCGTGGTCCTTGGCTTGAGGTGCCCTGGTTTCCACAGCCTGCAGCTGCTCCGGCGTCAGACGCTTGGCATAGAAATGGGCCACCACGCGCTGTTTGGCCGCGAGGTGTGAGCTCCGGTAGTCGGAGCGCTCCACACGGAAGGCAGACACCGCGTCGCCCAGCTCCTCGAGCAGTTCACGGTTCAGCCCGTCCTCCAGGCTGCTGTCCTGCGCGTCCACGAAGCCGCCAGGGAAGCCTAGGCGCCCGTCGAAGCGCATCTGCATCTGGGGGAGGAGGGGGACGATGATTGGCCGGGGAGCGCGGGCTCCGGGAAGGGGAGCGGCCCGGCATGCCGCGGCGTCCTCACCAGCACTGCGAAGCGCTTCGGGATGCGGCCGAACAGCTTGTGGGGGTCGGGCGCGTAGAGCAGTGCATGGCAAGCGTGGCGCCAGCCGGGCTCCAGCGCCAGGGCCTCGCTGAGCTCCACCTTCCGATCCCCAGCCATCACCAGGCTCGCACTTCCGGGTTCCTGCCGCGGACAGCACCTCGAGGGCGGAGCTTCGCGTGACTCGGCAGCAGCCAATCAAGATGGGGCTCTCAAGCTGAGCCGAGAAGATACTGAAGCTTACTCAGGATTGGCTCTTAGGCGAGGGCTGAAGCTGAGCCTGTAGTGCTGAAGCTTGGTAGGCCCAGGCTCAAGTGGAACCTGGAAGGCTAGGAGGAGCAGGTTTTGGAGCCCGAGCAGCATTTACTTGCTCAGGAATCCTGGCAGTGGATAGAACGACGCAGTCTCCAGGAAACTGCGCTTGGGTTGTTCCAGATCATGTACTTAGCAAGGAGACTAGGGATAGGAGGAAGGTAGTCTGGCTTCTGAGATTATGCCTACCCTAGGGCAACGGGGAAAGAGAGATGGGTGTTAACTAGTGTTGAGTGGTGGAAATGTGGGGACTGGCTGAATATAAGGGGAGCAGGGGTCAGCGCCAGGACAGCTTATGGCCTGGGCCTGGGTGATAACGCTGTGGGGGAAGGGAAGGGACGAGGCCAATGATAGGTGTGGTTACAACCAGCAACTGGCATTGACTGTGGGCTCTGGGCAGTGGTGTGGAGCCTGGTACATGGAAAATGACATATGGAAATGTCAAGGTTACAGTAACGTTGGAGGGTGGTGGCAGGCTGTGGATATGACTAGAACACTGAGAGGTGAGTGGGGAGGAGTCAGAGGTATGGCACCCCCCCAAGTTTGGCAATACATTCAAATAGCCTCAGATCTTTAAATTCTGAAGAATGGGAAAGTAGGGGACACGTAGAACCCAATGCTGAAAACCTGGGATCCAGGACTCCTCACTTCAGCTGGGTGACTCCACCTGAAGATTAGTCCGTATACCAAGTACTTAAGGAAGGCAGGAGGTGTCTCTGAGTTTCAAGTTATAGCCTGGAACTGGCAGTTCACTGTAGAGCTTAGAATTCACCCAGACACAGGCTTGTGACTTGAGTAGAAGTCACTCAGGTTATCAGTTATAAATCTGTTAAATGGAGATGGTACCAACCTAGAATGGGCAGGTGGAAAGTCCTTCTCAGAGCTCAGAGCCAGACACAGTAATTCCAGCCATTCTTGGAGATGAGGGTAGAGGCTCAGTGCTGTGTCTTATGTCAAAGGTTAAGGCCAGCATCCCAAGAAGAGGGGCAGCAGTGAGGATGTCTGGGGACATCTTTCCTCAGTCTCCTGAGTAGCAGGGCAGAGATGCCATTTACTGAGACAGTCATAGCATGGTGAGCTGATAAGTGAGACATTATTGCCATTATCGGGCTAAAGTTCAAGGAACTGGCAAATAGTCCTGGTTAAACATTAGGGTCACCTTACAAAAAGCTTGTAAAGCCCCCCTTCGATACCTTCCAATTCCAGGGTCCCACCCCAGACCAACTCCAACAAAATTTTCACAGGGTAGTAAGGGACATGGTGGGTTTTGTTGTTGTTTTGTGTATGTGTGTGGTGTGTGTATGTGTACATGTTTGTGTGTCTGCATAGATATGCAGGTACATGCTCACACAAGCATGGAGGCCAGAGGCCAATACTGTGTGTCTTCCTCTACTCCACTCTCCCTTAGTTTCTGAAAAAGTGTCTACTGTTGAACCCTGAGCTCATTAACTATCTAGAAAGGCTAGTCAGTGAATCCTGGGAACCTACCTGTTACAGAATGCCCACCACTCCCAGCTTCTGTGGGGGTTCTGGCGATCCAGGCCCAGTTGATTGTGGCTGTAAGACAGGCGTTTTATCGACTGGGTCATTTTCCCAGCCCGACTTTTAAAAACACATCATTTGAGAAACCACCAAGACCAACAACCAACACTGTCACCCTCCATATTTTTTTCCCAAGTTTCCTGCCCTGACTTCTCTCAGTGGTGGATTGTGACCCGGGAATAGATATCCCAAACAAGCCCTTTCCTCCTCAAGATGCGTTTGATCAGAGCGTTTTATCACAGCAACAGAAAGGCAAACTAGGGCACCATGTCTTTCAGAAGATGCTTTGCACCTGCCCTGCACCTGCATTCTCAACCCCTACCCTATGTTACTCAGTAGTCAGGGACGGAGGGAGACAGAGCCATATGCTTAGAGCTGTTCCATGTGGATGATGGTCCACTGAGATAAAACAGTAACTTGGATGATGCTTGGTGGCCCAAATGATTATTTTTCATAAGACTGAAAGATAAATTACACATTTCCCCCTTCATTTAAAAAGAAAATGGCTCATCCCAGGGCTACAATATTGTAGGGACATAACCCAGAGCCTCATGAAAGCAGAAGTGTTAAAAAATTACGATGTTCAAGATTCTGTACATCAGGCTTATGATTATTAGCATTACTATAAAATGGAGTGTTAATCTTGGTCCAATCTATAATAGCTACAAAGGACCACCTCCAAAGCATCCGGGAGATAGTATAGTGAGTATATTTCCTGTAGCAACAGGCTAAAGCATGATATAGATTTGTGAGTTCATGTTTGGCCTCTGTAGATGTACAGCCATCTACATATAGAAGCATTTGTGGGAATGTGTATACACTCAAGGAATAGTAAACACCTTACTTTGTGGTTGTTCTGTGAGTTCAGAGAATCACAGAGGCAATGACTCCTGAGGATAACAACTCCCTTAGGGCCCAGATGTGGCTTATCACATCATATCCCAACAAAAGAAAGCAGTGCTCCTTAGGAAAAAATTCCCTGATGGACAGAAAGGTTCCCAACCAGTGTACAGTGAACATCAACCATATTGTACTGTCAAGGAAGAACCCCCCCAAAGGAAAAGAAAAGTCAAAGAGCAAAAAGTAAAAAGGAACCCCACATGGTTGTCATGTAAGAGAAAGTCACAGGCCATTACTGAAAGGTTTCAAAGCAGAAACAATTTGAGCAACATATTAAAGCAGTTTTACTTTGTTTATTTATATTGTGAAAAAATAAATACCCATAAGCCTGCACTGATATGGAATGCTGATGCATGTGGAATTAACTGCTGCACGTAGTCAAAGAATCCTCCCTGTGGAGGAATTGGAGACCATTGCCAAAGCTATTTTGTTCTCCGGTAGAGCATTGCTCAATAGTGACTTCCTTCCCAGGAGCAAACAGTATAAAAAGAAGAGAGCCACAGAGCAACTTCATAGCTTTGGGGAGAGCCTGACAAGCAGTAGCCTGACAACCAAGACCAGCATCAGCATTGGTGTGTCAAGTTGACAGAGGGTAACTGATAGGATGTGATGACCATGGCTCTTTGCCTGAGGCCTTCCTCACCAAAAGAGAGAATTCTGGTCTAAATTTTGAGGAAATCACTGAGCCAGTCTCAGCAGAGGGACATCATAATGTAGTTGACCAGCACACTTCAAAACTGTCGAGGCTTTTTCTTAGTTCTTTGGAGTTGCTGGATCAAAATAACCTAGACTGGATGGTTTAGAGACGACTAAATTTTGTTTCTCACATTTCTGGAAACATGGAAGTCTCACATGAAGGCACTGGCAAACTTGGTGTTTAGTGAGGGTTCTATTTCTTGATTCACAGACCAACTTGTATTTGAAACCTCCAAAGGTTCTGGGGAGTCCCCTGGTTCTCCTGGAAGGTCACTAATGCTATTCATGAAGGCTCCACTATTATGGTATAGTCCCCTCCCAAAGGCCCCCACTTCCAAACACCAACACAGGGTTGTAATTTCAGCATGGGAGATGTAGAGGGCATAAATATTCAACCTGTAGCAGTCCTAATAAAGATGGAAGTTTCCACTGCCTATGGCATAGAGAGGAGCCTGAGAAAAGGTGATTCAAATGAAATCTGAAATCCTGGAACAAGGATGAAGGCATTAGATAACAGAAAAGGGAATCTGAATAAAACTTTTGGTGAACACTAATGCTTCAAAACCAGTTCATTATTTTAAGAACTGTGCTATACTAATTTAAGATATTAATAGGGAAACTGAATGATATATGGAGATGTCCTCTACTAGTCTCCCAATTTTTCTGTGTATATAAATTGCTTAAAATTAAGTTTACTTTTGAAAAACTGGGAGGGTCCATGCAGAAGACACTGGTCAAGGAAGTTTACAGGGCCATCGACCTAGTTTCTGCCATAATTGAATTACAACGAAGAATCAGACACGAAGCAGATCTCACCATGAACGAAACTGAGTAGACATCTCAACTGAAGCCAGTAAGGGAAAAATGGTAAGAGTCCCTAAATTTAGTAACAAGACCTGAGGATGGAAGGGGCAGAGATGGGAGAAGTTAGACAACTTAAAGCCTTGGGCCAACAAGCAAATATACTCTTTCTCCTAAACTTATATTGACATCCTTGACTTAAGCCCCAGAATGATGACCCTGCCCGTGCTGTTGCAGGGTACAAGTCCAAGAGGGTAGTCTCTTGGGGGAGGGAAACGAGTAGGCATGGTATTAATGGCTGGCGCAGACTCAGGGAGCCAGATGAAAAGCAAAAGCCAATTCCTTTATTGAGGGTATGGGGAGACCTCTTATAACCCCTCCCGGGACCCAGGGGCAGTGCCAATCTCTCTCTCATTGGCCTATGACATCAGTGGTCTCCAGGCCTCACAGCAGACTTCTGATTGGCTCTTAGGGAAGTTACTAATGCGCATGCTCAACTAAACCCCAAGCTGACTGTTAGGTTCCTCCTACAGGGTGATGTAACTATTTGCTTACACCTCAACAAACCAAGGAGCAGCAAGTACCCTGTTTATAGAATCTGCTGTCTCGTTGTTTTCCAAGAGGATCCTGTCTCTCTCTGTGAAATTTCAATGCAAGAAGAGCTTTCTTTTTCCAGTGTTAATTTCAAAATGCTGAGCTCTAATTCTAGTTTACCTTGCCAACTGTTACCTGGTAACTCCACTGTTAGACGTTCTGAGAACCTATTCCAGGACCTGGTCCTTTTTATGACTAACATCTATATATCATGCACCTGATCCTTACTTATAGAAACAAAAATAACATTTCCAGTTTTAACAATCGAGCTGTGATCTTTTGGAGCCTCAGCCCCAGGGACCTATGTC